TTTCTCCGCAAACCCCCGACTGAGATCCTGCCGCATTCTTTGCACGGCTCCTGTCCCGTGTGACTGGGCCTGATCTTTATCATAGTCATAGGGTTTAGGACGGTTTAGGGTTTAGGGCCCTATATCATGTGGCTTTCAAGACCCTGAGCCCCAAAGCCCAGACCCCACACTCTGTGGTCTTGGAGCTTTGACTTCGTAGGGTTTTCCCGAATGCCTCAGCCCTCTCGATGTCAGCTTGGCGAGGTTCCTTCGGATGATGCTCCCGCAGTAGCTGTTATGTTTAGGGTTTGAGGTTAGGGTTTAGGATTTGGGATCTAGTGTTTGGGGCTCAGGATTTTTAACTTAATGTTTAGGGTTTAGGGTTCAGGGCTCTTCCAAGGTGCTTGACCGCTGCATGCAGCTTCCGTAACCTCAGTGGCGAGTTCAACTTGATAGTTGTGGCGGCAAGTCCCGGGCACCATTGATTTCATCAGGATAGCGGTGTGCTACTGGCTTCTAGACTCTAAGCTCCTGACACAGAGGCAGTCAATCCTGGAGGGGGGAAGTAGGCATAGTCAATCCTGCCGGAAGATTGTCAGGCTCGGGGTCATGGTTGAGTCTGCAGTCGACAGATCATTCAGATCGCGATGGTGTCACCTTTGGCTTCGTTTTTTCTTTTTACATGGGTAGTTCTCTAAATGAGGGCCCCTTTTGGGGTCCTTTTACTCTTCATGCTCATCGACTCATTGGTTTGCGATGCTGCCCAGGAAACAGGGCATCAAGCGACTTGCCCAAAGGCTCGCCCAACTCAGCCAGTTTCCAGGAGTGTCAGGGCAATAAGTTGTAGGGACTCTTATACGGAACCTTGAACCCCAATTAGAAGGACAGCAGCATCCTTCCTGTAACAACCCTAAATAGCAAGTTCTGTATTTTTGTAGAAGCAGACTTTCGTTGTTAATGGTTGCATGTTCCCACGTTTTATGTCGGGCTCCTTCTCCACATCAACCGTTAAGATGGGCGGTGTCTATTGGGGCGAGTGGTTTTGGAAACCCTGCACGCTTACCCAACCCGCCCAACCCTTTGTGAAACTTGGTTTGTTCTTTCATGAGGGAGTCCAGCCCCCAGCCCAAGCTGAAAAGGCACAGCGACAAGCCAGGATGTCCCTTGATTGATTGTTTGAGGGCTCGGGCGACGGTCAGGGATCACGGAGGCCAGGATTGTGGAAGTTGCCGGTATATCCGGCTTGCTGGTCTGATTTGATGTATGCCAGCTTCCGACACGTTTTCTTCCAGCGCTGTTGGCCATGAGCCCTACTGTTCACCCTAAACCCTGGGCCTCGAGGCGGTAGCTGGCGGCAGCAAATTTCGGTTTAAGGATTTTGGGCTTGAAGGCAATCACTGCTGCAACGTTTAATCATGTTCTTTTTCTAGTCCCTATATATCCATCAAGAGACCCCGGCACCCCTGAGCATTAAGGCGCCTATATTGGGTGCGAAACCCTTCGCGGGCTGTTTATCAAGAGTGGGCTGCAGGGCAGCTCAAAAGAAAGCCAAAGCACCTCAAACCCTGATCCTCATGGTTTTCGGTGGTATCTAAACTTTAACTAAACCCGACGCCCTAATCCTTATGGTAGGTGGCATCTAGTCCCCCAAACCCTAAACCTAACCTGAAACCTCCCTAAACCCTGAACCCCTAAACCTGACGGTAGGTGGTATCAGTGGCATGATGTGCACTCCAGCAACATGCTCGGAGAGACTTGGCAGCGATAAGAGACGAGCCATGAACCTGAAGTAGGGTTTAAGGTTTAGAGTTTAGGGTTTAGGGGTTATAGGGTTTAGGGTTTAGGGTTTAAGGTTTAGGGTCTGCCTCAGAAGTCAGGAGCAATCACCACTTCAGTAAAGGAAGCAAACCCGGTGAAGCTGGGAGGCTCGGTGCATCCTTCATCTATTTCAGTTTTGGGGTTTAGGGTTTAGGGTTTGGGTTTAGGGTTTAGGGTCAGTTTTGGGGTTTGTGGCCTTGAGCAATCATATATGTGCCGGAATTGAGACGTCCGATGGGCTTGACCCTAGCCGCGGGCTGTGTCGCGCTTGGAAAAGGTCTGGTGCGGTTTCGTAGGGGCCTGCAAGTACTCATGGAGTGCATGGGGATGTCCAGGCTTTCTGCTTCTGGTTCCAAGGTGTAAGTGTGGCACTGCCTGTGCAGTTGTCTGCACAGTGGGTACAACTTCACGAACGCCATCAAAAGCTTGCAAGACCCTAAACCCTAAACCCTAAACAACGAAGATACAACATCCTACCGCACCGTTCCCAAACGCAGGAAGCTCTGAACCCCCAGCCTGAATCGCAAAGCGGTAGATTCTGAATGAAACCCAGGCCTCCCGAAAGCGTATATCCTAAATGTCGTTCAGCCTTAGTCCGGGGCCCGGCCCACCAGCCCTTGACGCTGAAGAATGTCCAAAAACAAACCCCGAGACAGCGTTCCGAGGACTTGATTTCCCAGGTGGGCCTGGAACCATCCTGGCGTCTGAAACCAAAGTAAAAGGCGCCTCGATCTCTGGATTCGGGTCTAGGGCCGCTTACGGTTTAGGGTATTTGTTGAAGGTCAAGTTCACGCATGCGTTGTTATCCTATGGGATTCGGATTGCCTTCTTCGGAGAGTTCTTCATGTCAAGACTGACTAGTGTTGCTTTACGCACAACGCTCTGCAACGAATCCACACTGAATCCACTGCATGGCCAGTTGGCTTTTCAGCTGCTATTCGACACGAGGCACATGCCGGATGACAGCAATGGGGCTGCGGTTACGGCTGATGGCGATGACGATGATAAACAAACATGAGGATGACGGTCCTGTGGCCAGTACTGCACGCCCCTTGTTTCGGTTAGGTGAGGCACATTGGTCGGGCCGGTGTGCAATGCGACTGCGTCTGCGGCTGTTGTTGTTGGTGGTGACGGCGCTGACGGTGGCGGCGGTGGTGGTGGTGGTGTTGCGGGCGTTATTTTCAACTTTGTCTTTGTTTTTGTTGTTTTGTTGTTGTTGTTGTCGTTGTTGTTGTCGTTGTTGTTGTTGTTGTTCTTGTTGTTGTTCTTGTTCTTGTTCTTGTTCTTGTTCTTGTTCTTGTTGCTGTTGTTGTTGTTGGCGCCGACATGATGTAAACGCGCAAACCCGACATGCCGTTGGCATCGGTGTTTTAAGCGTTTCCTGCACCCGAAGTGCCTTTCGCATCGGTGCCGCCGTTGCTTCGTGTGTCTGCAGTTCCTTTGTTTTTCTGCGACGTTTGGAATCCTCGATATTTGCGTCGCTTCCTTGCATTCGGGTGCTGAATATCTCGAAATTTACGGTGTTTCCTGTGTTTTTTTGTTTCGTGTGTTTGCAATTCCTGGTGTTTGCGACTTCCGGAAACCTCGGTATTTGTGGCGTTTCCCTTGCATTCGGGTGCTGAATATATCCAAATTTATGGTGGTTCCTCTATTTGGCCTTTTTTGTGGGAGTGCGAGTTGAGATAGAGCGACTCCATGACCGAAACTTATTAATGTACGTGGTCCATTGCGATGTGGAAAAGGGAGGCTTCCTTCTCTCTCGATGGGTCTGGGCCGGGGGGGGAGGGTGGAGGGGCTTGGGGGGGTGGGGGGGGATAGTTCCGTCATTGAACTTCGTTGGACAGACCTCATTCGCTCTCTTTTTCGTCTTTCCTTGCCTTTGCATTTCTTCGCCATCGACGTTCACAGACACATATAGACATATACGCATAAGCACAAGGGATACGTGCGGAGAGGGTGGGTCGGTCTGGGCACGGGGGGGATAATTCCGTCATTAAAGGACATCGGCATGCGCTATATATGCACATAATTACAGTGTACTTACATGGCCATTTTGCGCGTTTGCCTCTTGTTGGAGCCACTGTAGGGGTTTGTGCTGCTGTGCTCTGTTGTTGTCCTTGCGCTCGCGAGGTTGCAGTCTTTACCGGTCTAGACCTTTTGACCAGACACAACTAACCAAACATAACTTCCTCTGTCATGCTGGAATGCACAGAAAACCTTGCAAAACGTGTGTAGAAGCAGCGAAAACCAACCAAACATAAATTCCTGCGTAACGCGACGTGCTGTAATTTACAGCACTTTCTCTCAACAATAAGACTACAGATTACAGAACTGTCCTTCTCTTACGAGGCCATATCTTGTGTCCTTTCAAACATAGAAAGCACAGAAAACCGTGTAAATAGCGATGCGTTCGCCACTTGCCACTACGTGGAAATCCAGACACAGAAACTATCGACGCCACCGAGGTTTTCGGCCGTTGAAGTGTTGGAATTGCTGTCAAAACCAATGCAATCGGCATGTGCGCAGCGTGCGTTTACGTCATGTCGGAGCGTCGTTGTTGTTGTTGTTGTGGTTGTGGTTGTGGTTGTGGTTGTCGTTGTCGTTATTATTCTTCGTCTTCTTGTTCTTGTGCTTGTTCTTGTTATTGTTATTGTTCTTGCAATTGTTCTTGATGATGCTGATGTTTCCAGCGGAGATAATTCATGTGACGATGGTGCTGAAAACAACTGCGCCGATGAAAGCACCAACAACCACGTCTGCACCACAACGGCGTGATGGTATATAGACTCCTGCTTTTGCAGCCACCATCACTACCACGACTCTTGCTGATCATTCTGGTGTTGCTTGCGACACGGGCACTTGCATAATCACTGTACTCTTGAGGTTGCGCTTTTGCCGATGATGTTAGGACCCAAGTCGAAATGCTTCAGCCTAAGGCCGAAGAGTCCTGCACGACATCATGGCCGGATCCTGGCGACCCATCTAAACAAGGGTCGTAAGAGTTCGCGCAGTCCCAAGCATGTTGGCAGACGCAGGATTCAAAATGCACGGTCTAGAATCGACAGGGTGCATGTGCGTAGATGCTCCAGCTTGCTTTCACGGTTTCTTTCAGCTCGACGTCGCACTATTGCCAGGTCTCAAGGTTCACCACCCATCTGCACATGCTTCAGTCAAACTGACTGAAAAGGTTTTGCTTAGCTGCCATGTCGTGGCATGTATGTGCACCAGATGAAGCCACTCCGCTGGAGCGCCTCGCGCAGAATCTCCTGGGTGGAGATGGTGGGGAATTGAGAACAAGCCCATCGCATTCCTTCGAGATGTACGTGGTGGCTGCCGATGTCGTAATTAGCATGAAAGAACTCGTCCCACATGAGACGCTACTGGCGAATGGGTCCTTGAACTCCTTCGACGAGAGCCAAGGCAATGCCATGTTCGTATCACATCAGTGGGCGAGCTCCTCTCATCCGGATCCAAACATGGAGCAGTTTTGTGTATTGCAGGATGCTTTGAAAAACATTATGCCGCTGTGGCAGAACAAGAAGAAGTCTTTCTTGAGTTCTGCTCTTTACTTAAGTTATTAAAGGCCCCAGTGCTCTTTGCTTAAGTCATTGATAAGCTCCAGCGCAGATGATATTTCCAGAAACTCGCGACATCCAAAAACTTGGGGAGCCTCCGAGGTTGGTAGTTCGACTCCTTGAGAACCTTGCTGGAGATCTAGTTTAGGGGGTTTATGGGTTAAGGGATTTATGGGTTCAGGTATTTAGGAATTGTGGGTTTAGGGTACCATAAATCCGCAGCCTCTTTTTTGGTCCACTTTTTACTGTAGGCCCCCAAGCACCCCTCCGGACCCCGAAATTAAAACGGCCTAAGCTCTAAATCCTCCGCGCGAAACCCTAAGCTCCATAAACCCTAAGCCCTATACATACTAAGTTCCGACGCCCTGAGCCCTAAATCCAGGTCGGGGGCTTGCTCGATATCCGGAAACATCAGCTTCGAACTTTATACCGGGGGGCGAGGCAATCTGTCGGCCGATCAGATGCCCCATGTCTGATCCTACGCGGCTTAGGGTTTTGAGCTTAGGGTGTAGGGCTCAGGGTTTGGGGTTTAGGGTATGAGGGAGATGCCAAGTGCTGCCCAGGCAGTGTGTTGTGGGGTTTGAGTTGTAAGAAGCATACTCAGGAAGCGATCAGGCAGCCCTCAAACAAATGTTTTTATTGTGGCGTGCTTCCGAAAGGGTGGGTTTGTAATTACGTGGTTTCACCACTTGTCGCACACTTAAAACGCGAATGAGTTACTTCTGGCCTTCTGGGCGTGTGCAAACAGGCACGGATCTTGAACACGAAATGCACTACCTGCATTGTGTCTGTAGGTACAAGAGGCTTGAGTTGGCACCCGGCACCAGCCGATATAAGCCTAATTCTCTAAATTAGGGTCCCCGTGCGCCCTTATAAAAAGGACCCTAAAGGGGACCCTACTTTAGGGAACTACCCCCAAGAAGGTCTGCCAAGAGGCTCTTCGTTTGGTACGACTTCTTCTCCTGTCCGCAGTCTGCCTCAGCCGAACAGCCGCGTCAGTTGGCCATACGAAGCATTCCGACTTACGTGGACAGGTGCCAGTTCTTCATCATCCTCTGCCCCCCTGTGCAGCACACAGAGCAGGAGTTCACTCTGAACCGCCGCAGTTGGGAAAGCCGAGGGTGGTGCAGGTTAGAGCGCATGGCGCAAGAGCTGACGACAAGGGCTGATGCATGCTTCGCCGTAGAGTTCAAGAGTGCTACTCACCACGAGGAAGTAGCACCCTTCGGCCGCGAGAAGGCCCCTGTAGGACTAGGGCATTTTACTGTGGAGTCGGATCGGCAAATGATAGCGCAGGTTTTACAAGGCATGGTGCGGAGGAAGCTGCACTCATATCTGCTGCAGGGCGAGGTTCACAACTACCGATTAATGCTGAACCTGCAGCGTGTCCACTACAGGGGTCTCCCCCTAAATCCAATTGATGACCTGGTGCCAGCAGTTCAGTCCGGCACGCAAGACCCGGCTAAGTTCGCTGCAGAAAGCTTTCTGCTCCAGAATGGTTTTCAGTCCGTCTCTGAGCGAACAGCTGCTGGCTGGACTCCAGTCTGCTTTGCTGCTTTGGATGGCAGTCCGCTGTTGATGATGGCGCTTCTAGAGATGCGTGCAAATGTAGATGATCGCATCGAGAATACGCAGCCATCGAGCACATTCGGACAGAACGCTCACTTGATCCACATGTGCGCCTTCCTTTCGAACAACGATGCTCTCCATGTCCTCTTGGGCTGTCGGGCAGATTTGAGGTTACTGGATCGCTACGGAGCGACGGCGCTTCATTGGGCCGCCTTTGCAAACAACGTGAATGGCATTGATGCTTTGCTTTCGGCTGGCGTAGATCCGATTCGCCGGAATATCCTGGATGCTACAGCCTTTCGAGTGGGAGCTCTTGCAGGTTCCATCGAAGCTATGAAGGTACTGCTGCCTCTGACGCCAAGTCAAGAAGTTCACCTTTCCGTGCACGATGCCCTCCTCCATGGCGCGGGAACTGCAGAGGTGATGTCGGCTTTGATCACGATGAAAGCGGATGTAAACCACCAGTTAGCAACGCCGTTTTTGAGCCCACTAGGCATTTGGTTCGGATGCCTCAGTTTGCGACACCGATGGAGCGAATCGAAGCTGAGTGCTTATGCATACCATCACTACAGCGCCACCCCTCTCATGGGCAGCATCATAACGACATCCTTTGAGGCTACCAAGGCCCTGCTGGCAGCAGGAGCCCGAACAGATCTGCGAAATGCACGAGGGCGGACTGCAGCCGACTTAGCCATTGAGATGGGAGCTCCTGATTATGTCCTTTCTGCATTGGCGGATCCTACTTATGCTTGCGTCTCTGACGTGGGCACAGAAGACTCGGACATGTGCACAACCAGGCTGTAGGAGTTCCACAACTCACTGTAGAGGTGTTGCGATCTTCGATGGCCTATGCACAGACTTTCCAACCGGGGCGCTTGGCTCCGTGGACGAGTGAACACCTCATTCTAGGAGATTCTAGCAGCACAGTCTATGACAAGAACTGCATATCCTTCTGAGTTCGGTAGCTGCTCGGGCCAACAGGAGCCTGAAACAGCCTAATCAGAACAGGGTTCTAAATGCGCTAAATAAGGGATGACCACGCTCCTCAGCAAGGCTTCTTCCATGAGAGTTTCGCCAAATACCCACAACCAAAACCTGGTGGCTCCTTTTGGGCAGCTTTTTTGCCTATCAAAATCTTGAATTCTCAAGGAGACGCAGCAGAGACCGAAAAACGCATCAGAAATCAGAGCTCGGGTTTTGACGAAGCTTATGTGCGCAATACTTCTCAGGAGTGACTATACTAAGTATCTGAATAGGTAGCACTTGGTTCTTCTAGTCCTCGTATGATTCCCCAAACCCCAAGCCCTACACCTTGTTTAAAACACCTAAACCGCCTTAGCCTTAAACCGAGTTTTAACGCCCCTATATTCTTTGAGTCAAGGCTGCGGTCTCCGATGGGTAGCTTTTCTTCGCTGGGAGATGCAGTGCACACTTTCAGCGGTTCTACAGGGTTTCAAAGAGGGTTCCTTCAGGTTTGAGGGTTCCTATAACGGTGCCTTGAAGTGAAGTGTGATCTGCAAGCTGCCGAAGGCTGAATGCTTTTTTGTGCGAGATGTGTGGCATTTTCCAGGAGTTGGGAGGCCTGGTTCGGTGCCCCTGCAGTGCAGGGAGTTTGTGCCGAAGGTCTTGAAGACTTGAAGAGTGACCCGACCTTGCACGAACAGCGCTTCGCTGCTTTCGGTTCATAGAATCGATACTAGTATAACTAGTTACTAGTTATAACTAGTATTAATAATGGTAATAATAATACTATTAATAATAGAAATAGTAATGACAAGAATAGTAATAATAGTAACAATACATACATAGTAATAAAGAAACAAACACCTGTAAGAACAGTAACAATAGCAATAAGCTTCTTGAGCAGCATTAACCCAAAGCCGCGAACCACAGAGCTTTCACTTGGATTTTCCAAGCCCTGCTCCCAATCCCGTGAGGCTGGTGAAATCCGGCTGACATTTGACATGAGAGACAACTATGTCCCAGGAATCTTCATAGATGTCCTGTGGAAACTGTGCGTGTTTCGGTGTACATGGGGGTGGAGATCATTTACAAGACGTTGAAAGGCCATCAAGGCTGCAGACATGCACATAGCCGACAAGGCAAGGAAAGCATTGCCTGCAAGGACCTCTTGACTGTGTCACTGACAGATATCCAGCAGGTCTGCGTGTTGCTGAAGATTCCCAGCTTGTTCAATGAAGAACCTGGCTCTTCATGCAAAGTGCGTGGCTTGCAGTCTTCTGCTTCATTCTCACAGCAGTGCCGTGGGACGCGACTGACGCTGTTCGGTTACTCCTTCTTACTTCGATATCCGAGCTACCCAGTCGTGCACCAAGTTAGTCGTGTCGCCAGCTTGCTGTAGAAAGGCCATTTTTCTGCTGCGTTCGACGGAAAACTCCCGCTCCTCCTATTTCACTTGAATCATGAGGTAACCTACTCCGAGCGTGTCAACAGAGCGACACCCAAGTAAGGTTTAGACTCGAGTACCAAGGATCAAGCGATGAGCCGCGGTATCCTCAGAGATATTCGATATAGGCATACGATGCATTGCGTAATTTGCACGGTCACAGGCAGTCATTGGCAGACATCCACGTGCTGCTTTTGTTGTGACCTCCATCGAAGGAGAGTGTGCTTCGAATGAAGGAACCTCTACGAACGTTTACGGAAAGCCTACAATCCCACTTGATCTGCATGACGGTCCGAAACGCAGCTCAAGAACAGAAACCCGAAAGCTTGCGATTATCTCTCATCAGGCCTTGCCATTTCTAATGTTCAATTCAGTCTAAATTCAGGATCAACCATTTCCAAAGCCAGGGATTGTAAGGTGCTACCAGCCTACCAGGTGCTTATACGACGCAATCAAATTATATGCCTTGTTTGACGAGTAGCCGGAGCGGCGCTATATGAAACTGGTTTTGCCCCACGAACAACACCGCCAAGGTCTTTGGAAGATTCGGAAGGCAAACGAGCTGATCTGTGCCATAATAAGCTTGGCTGGGAAATATGATATATTTCTAATCTTCAACGATGGAGCAAAATATAAATATATGTATTATAAATAATATCGAGCGAAAGCTATAAACAAATCTAGAATAGATTTCCCGATGATCTCCATTTACTGAGTCGAACAAGAGATTCAAGAAGTTTTGTTTATGCTATCGTTATTGTGCAGCGGCGGGAAGTAATAGAGATTATACCGGCATAGATCGTTAATAATGAAGAAGAGGTTGGGAGAAGGTTTTTGCGGCTCGCACATTCGTATAATATAAACATCGAAATAAGATCTCTATTTTCTTGGGAGGAAGTAATCGTTGAATTATTTCGATTCGTCAAAGAGATGGACGGCCGGAAGACGTTTGAATAGGCTCTTGATTTTATGTCGTTGAATTCGGTAGTTCAGATAATTCTACAAGATTCTTTTTACGAATTTTTATATATTTATTTTGAATTCATTATAAATACATGAATATCGCGTGGTATTTCTTCTTATGGATTTTATTTTTTTATTCGATAATATTCGATATTCTTATTTAATTCGGAAAAAGAATAAAAAAATCATTCTTATTTATCGATATTCTTTGTAATATTTTAAATCGAAAATTTCTCTGAAAAGAACGAATTTTGGGCCTATACGATATCGAATGGTTTGATTTTTAGATTCTTTATATTTATGATTATTATAAGTCTTTTGGAAATATATTATTATTTAATGATTAGTCTAAAGAGATGATTTGCAAATTATTCTATTAATATTTTTTTGTCGTCTATAATAATAATTTCTGATAATATATTTGATTAAGAAGTAAATGATCTTTTTTCGTATATGCCGAATATTTGGAATAACTCATGGAATTCGATATGCCGACCCATATTTCTATTTGATAATATTTGTACTGATTTGATATTTATATTTATTGATATCTTGAATTATAGCTTCTTTTATAGGGGTAATTTTAAAAAATATATAGACATTATTTATTTATTAATAATTATCTTAGTCCGTATTGAAAAATCTATAAACGATTAGAAATTTAAATCGAGAGATCGTATTTCGAAATCTAGTCGAATTTTTTTTGAATCTTGTATATTCCCAGCCCGCCTTAGAAATATTCGATGAAATCGAATAAACGAACTTTGGTGAGAAATTTAATAAGATAGACCGCGAGATTTTAATTTCATATTACGCAAGCGAATAATATATTTCTTTTATTTCTTTAGATATTATCATAATTCAATCAGTTCCTCGTATATGATAGATATATCGTATCGTCCTTCGAATTGTGCGTGCTGAAGACATTTTTCGATTTCATTTATTTTTTGTATGACCATAAATAGAATTTCTTCTTTTTTTCTCGATAACGACATAAATTATCATTTTATATATTAGTCATAATTTCTATCTGAGAAAAATTAGATTTAATCGAAGAATATTTCGCCCTAACTTCTATATTCTCTCTTTCAATTCGGTTCATAAATATTTCGTATATTTTGACCATATTCAAAAATTTCGCCTGTCGCTCGTTATTCCAAATAAATTTGGCTATTAGTTACCATATAGTAGTAATCTCAATTGGTCCGATAAAGATTCTATAAAGTCTTAATTTTATGATATGAATTTATTTTTTCGATTCGTATCAATATAATTTCATATTCGGATTTCATTTCTTCATATATTCGATTTATATATGTCAGTGTCATAGTCGATTATAATAATACTAGTCTTCTATATCAGAATTTATATAAAGGTTTCATATCGTAGAAATTTATTATTAATAATCAATTTACAAAGAATATGAAAAAATATATATATAGAAATATCAAATCGACGAGAAGAATCCTAATTCTTCAACATAGATTTTATGTTTTTTTTCAAATTTACAATCTCATGCAAAACGAGCTTGCCGCCCAAAATATTTTTCATATCTATATATAATCAAAATATCATAAAAAATATAAAGAATATTCGATTTCAAATGGACTAGGCTAATATTATTTCATAATAAAAATATCCATAACCTCTATAAATAAGTAATTTTTCTTATCAAATATAACAAATATTTTCTTCTATATATTCGTATCATCAAAAATCTATATAAAAATTAATTCCCATTATTTAATCGATATATATCAAATAACCTCATAAATCACGAATTATTCATATTTTCTTGAACCAAATTCATGAATAAATAGAAAACTAAAATATGCTACGACTCTTCAAAGTAAGCGAAGAATATATAAGATAATTTGAATTACACATTATAAGGCAATCTTACGATAATCATATCAAATTTCCGAAAGATTCGGCTTAATCTAAAGAAGACCTCGAACATATTTTTCGATTCAAACAAAGAAATATTCTTCATAATAAAAGCTAATTTCTAAATACAATTAATTATCCCAGGAGATTTTTTAAAATCGGTACTTCTATTATTTCTTTTATCAACCATTCAATTTTTGGAAATAATATTTTTGAATCAATATTGCTTCCAATATTGTTATATATATATGATGATTACTATATATATATATATCTCTCTCT